GCGCGCAAAGACGGTGCCAGCTCCTCCATCCTAGAACGGTGGGGGGAGCTCGTGGGCAAAGCTCACGTCGGTGTATGAGCGAATATGAACCCAGCGGCCATGCGACTCTGTTCACCTCCATCCCGTGAACCTTGCAATTTTATGCAGGATCTGAGCCTATATGGTTTTGCTAAACCCTAAACCCCAACAGCATGTTTGGGTATGGAGGAAACCGCAGAGGCGTGCAGCAGCCTCGTCTTTGAAGCCACGAGCAAAAAGCATCGCGAGAGTGCGACCGCCTTCCCAACCCCAAGCCCGCGAATCCTAAACTCCTTATCTTACGAGAGCCCTACAGCCCCAGATTGTCAGCGGACCGTGGAAGTGACAGCTGCGCAGGCTCCGATGTCGGGGTTTATTGCGGAGGCCACGGCTGGGCAGAAGGGGTCGACGATGCTTCGGTGGTTTAAGGGTCCTTGGGGGGTGCAGGGATTTGGGGAAGTTTCGGGGCATCGGGTTTAGGGGTTCAGGGGTTTAGGGGTTTAGGGGTTGGGACCAGGGCCAGCTCGTTTCGAAGGTGCCCAAAGACTCCAAAATTCAGGAGCCCCCGATTGTAATTTTCAAGAAGAATCCAGGAAGCTCATTTTTTTTGAAGGGTTTAGGAAGTTTCAACGGGCCTGGATCTAAAACTTCCCCACAAAGTGTGGACAAGGCGGGGGGAGCATCACACCTCCATGACCCAGCGAAAGCCTCCGCAACACGTTGCTGCATCGAGCTTCTGGGGATCCGATACTTACAAGAGGTCCTTATAGGGTTGGAGGTGCGGGATCAGGGTTTAGGGTTCTTTAGGGTTCAGGTGTTCCGGAGCACCCTCAGCCCCCGCGCGCCCAAGCACGACACGCGCGTCCGACGCTCCGACACCCTCAGCTCAAGAGCCCCTCTGAGCCCCTCCTAAAATCCTTGAAATCGGAGTGACAGGCTTCCAGCTTCGAAGTCCTTGGGATTGCAAATCCCTGCAGAGGCCACGGTCAAGTTTGAGTTTGAGAGTTCAGGGGTTTCGAGACCTTAAGACCCTAAGCTTAAGCTGGACCTTAGCCTTTTGAGACAAGACTTGGCATCGGGATGTTGCATGAAGGTGTTGGATTTTCAGGCCCGGGCCTCGTCTCAGGTCAAGGGATTGCGGGTGGAGGATGTGCTGTTTTGGACTAGGGTCAGGTTTAGGTAGGCTTTCGACAGCCAAGACGGTGCCAGCTCTCATCCATCCTGGAACGGTTGGGGGGAGCTCGTGGGCGTAGCTCACCTGGGTGAAAATGCAGATGTGAACACGGCGAATCCATGCCTTGGAATCTGCCACTCTGCAAACAGGAACACGCAACGAGCATTTGATCGCTTTGTTGCCGAATGTTCTTGCACGCAGAAGCATGTTTCGCTGTGGTGCACTAGTAAAGTGAAACGAAAGAAGCGCAGCAGCAGCCTCGTCTTTGAAGCCACGAGGAAGCCCAGCATCGTGCCAGTGCCCCTCTCGGAAGGGAGCACAGCAGATTGTCACGCACCTCACAACCTCCTCAACCCCCGACTCGAGAACCCCACAGCTGCAGAGTCTGAAAGTTTGAACCCCCTCAATGGCCCTAAACCGTTCAAAGAGCGGTACGTACGCCCTGGAGTCGACAGTTGCGCAGGCTTCCGGCTTCAACGTCCCGGTGGCTGCAGCTTCCGGAGGCCACGGATACTTTGGACATCTTCGGACTGCAATTCGGAGCGGGGGTGGGGGGGGGGTTGGCTTCTAAGCCTCAGTATGTAGAAATCGCAAACGAGAGTCTCGTCTAGACTGTACCCAAACTCTAATAGCCAGGACTTATGAGTCTTTGCATGAGGACCAAAAGTACAATTTCAGGAACATTCAAGTGCAACGGAAATGGATGCTCGGAGTGCAGTTCAATTAGGGGTTGAAGGCACCTAGGAAGGCTTTCAGCGACCCGAACCCCCCCTCTAAGCACTAACTCATAAACCCAACTACAAGTCAGACCGCATGCTGGGAAAACCCAGAAAAGGCCTCCGCAACTCGTTGCTTCCTCGAGCTTCCGGGGCCAACGCTTACGCCAGGGTTTTGCAGGGTTTACGGTACATGGAGGGTCATGGGGCTTAGTAAGTAAAGGTTATAAGTACCGTTCCCCTTATTGTTCGTAGTCCTAGTTACTAAGTCCAGGGTTTGGGGCGAGCGAAGCTCTGAAAGCCACTCCTCAGTCCGAATTCCGATGTAGTCATGCTTGCTTCTACTCATATTCTTATTGTTATTATTATTATTATTCTTATTGTTTCATTTGTTCTTATTCTTATTGTTATTCTTTTCCTGTTCCTATTGATATTACTATTCTTATTCTTGTTGGTATTATTGGCCTAATTCTTATTGTTATCACTATTCTTCACACTAGTACTTTTGTGATGATGATGATGATGTTGTTGATGATGATGATGATGGAGTACTCGAAGACAGTCGTTTGATAGGGCCCAACAGCCGAATCGTTGGAATCCTTGGATCGGTTGTTGCTTGAGCCCGAGCTGTGCTCACACACGCCCGAAACTGAAACGTAAGCTGTGCCGAGGCTTTTGCCTGTGACACCTGTGCGGCGAGAAGGCATTGCAATGCAGTGCTCACATTTCCGGTGTGGTTCGACAAACGCATAATCTTGCGTTTGCAAAGACAAATCAAGACAGGATCAAAGTCTTTTTGTATTTTCCCGGCAGCCTTCTGCGACCCAAGAAGCTGGTGATTTCTGAGTAGCAGAGCTCTGTGCCCTTGCCATGGCACTGTTTCGGATGCTTTGGATCGTGGCTTCGAGTTTGTGGGTGAGTGCAGAGGACGCGCAACCGTGCCCCAAGGGCTACTACTGCCCAGAGCAGACTCGCGCCTGGGACTAGCAATCTTGGCAGGGCTTTCTCAGAAATGGGGTACCGTAAGTAGGGGTCTTAGTGAGAAGGATCCTACAGTCCCGTATTTTAGGATTGGGATTGGGTCCCTTCTCCCAGAGTGGTCCCACATCGTGGTGCAGAGCCGCTTGAATCTCAGAAAGCTTCAAGCAGTTGTTTTACCTTGTTTTTTCCTGCCCGTGAAGGTCAGCCGGTTCTGTGCCCAGCGCGCCACTACTGCCCGGAAGGCAGCGCCGAGCCTTCGCTTTGTCCGTCTGGGCGCGTCTGCAAGGGCCAGGACCTGGAGGCCTTGGCAAACGGAACCTGGGGAGACCTGGTGCCGCTAGCTGCAGGGGGCGGCCACACGGTGGTTGTCTCCAACTTAGGCCAAATCTGGGCAGCAGGCAATAACGGCTACGGCCAGCTGGGCACCGGTGGCACTGTCAAGCAACATGCCTTTGTGCAGGTTGCATTTGGTGGCAAGAAGATCGTGGCCGTGGTTGCTGGATATGGTCACACCGCTGCGATCACGAACTCTGGCGAGCTGTGGACTTGGGGCCGTAATGGTGCTGGCCAGCTTGGCATTGGGGACACCGCAGATCGCCATGACCCAGTCAAGGTGAGCGTGAAAGGCCAGAAGATCGTGGCCGTGGCTGCTGGAGAAAAGCAGACCGCAGCGATCACGGACTCTGGCGAGCTGTACACCTGGGGCCACAATGGTGCTGGCCAGCTTGGCGTTGGGGACACCAAGGATCGCCATGCCCCAGTGAAGGTGAGCGTGAACGGCCAGAAGATCGTGGCCGTGGCTGCTGGAAAAAAGCACACCGCTGCGATCACGGACTCTGGCGAGTTGTGGACCTGGGGCCACAATGGTGTCTTTCAGCTCGGCATTGGTGACACCACGAATCGCCATGCCCCAGTAAAGGTGAGCGTGAACGGCCAGAAGATCGCGGCCGTGGCTGCTGGAGACTACCACACCGCTGCAATCACGGACTCCGGCGAGCTGTGGACCTGGGGCTACAATGTTTTTGGCCAGCTTGGCGTTGGGGACACCACGAATCACCATGCCCCAGTGAAGGTGAGCGTGAACGGCCAGCAGATCGTGGCAGTGGCTGCTGGGTATTTTCACACCGCTGCGATCACGGACTCTGGCAAACTGTGGACATGGGACAACAATGATGCTGGCCAGCTCGGCATTGGAGGCACCA